ATTTGACAGCGTAGATATACCTGAAGTGCTGCTGTCCTCAAGTGAAACAGTAAATTTGAGCATGTTATATAAGGAATAAGCAGGGTGAAGTCATCTCGTTCAGAAGTTGAATGAGGGGAATGTCAGGAGCTCAACAGCCTTGTGTCTCCCTTGATCCTGCCCCTTCCAGTGTGGCTGACCCAAATAACAGCTCCTGGCTACAACTACCCCAGATGTTCACTGACAATCCATGAGAAGAATTCCTGGTTCAAAACATCCCTCTTATTCAGAATAGTCTCCTGCTTTGGTCTAATGCTTGCTAAACTAGCTGCAAGAAAGAAACCAAAAGCTGTAGCTTCCCAAATTTTCCAAATGCCAGAATGGATTCTAAATCTGCTAACAAAGAGCATCAACCTAGAATTCAGTACAAAAGGGAACAAGCAGCCAAAAAAAAACCCTTGACATAGGAGGATTTTTTGCCTGTAAGAGTACTGCCAGTACTTCAGTATTTCGGTAGCATCAGCCAGCTCCTGGCAATATACAGTCTTATCATTCTCCTGCACACAATCTCTATTGCCTCATCACTGAGATGGCTGAGTTAGTAAGCAGAACTCATTCCATCTCTCCTACCTCTGGAACAATACAAAGGCAAAACATCACAAGAGAAGAAATGAAATAACAGCAACACTTAGACAATCTCCTGAAAATTGTATTTGATAGAAGGGTACGGCTAAACTAATGATGTTCAACAAAGCCAAGTGAAAGGTTTTGCACTTGGACTGATGTAATGTATACGAACTGGGAAAGAACTCCTTGAGAGTAGCCCTGCTGAGAAGGTCTTAGGGGTCTTGGTTGATGAAAAATTTAACATGATCCAGCAGTGTGCGCTTGCAGCCTGAAAGACCAATGGTGTCCTGGGTTCCATCAGAAGAAGGGTGGCCAGCAGGGAGAGGGAAGTGATTGTCCCCCTCTACTCTGCCCTCATGAGGCCCTATCTGAAGTACTGCTTCCAAATCTGGGGCCCGCAACACAGAAAAGATGTGGAGCTGCTTTTGAGAAAGTCCAGAGGAAGGCCACGAAGATGGTCAAAGGTCTGGAGAACCCTTTGACAATCCAAAGGACTGGATTTAGATTAGATGTCAAGGGGAAGTTTTTCAGAGGGAGGGCAGTGAGGACCTGGTAAATGTTAGAAGGAGAAGCTGTGGATGCCCTGTCCCTGGAGGTGTTCAAGTCCAAGTTGGATGGGGCCGTGGGCAATGTGATCTAGTGCCTGGTTTAGAAGTTGGCAACCCTGCCTCTGGCAGAGGGATTGGAAATTGATGATCCTTGAGGTCCCTCAACCCAAGCCATTTTATAATTCTATAGCTCTATGATTCTATGATCACAGTACTGGTGCTATTGTATTTCTGGAATATCTTTAGAAAAAATTGAGGGTGTACAAATGTGATATAAGTTCCCAGCTCTACATTCAAACTCCTTCCTAACAAACATACCTTCTCTGAGGCCCTAATGTTTAAAAACAGAAGTAATATGCTGTCATTTCCCATTTCTGCCTGACCCTTAAAATGCTGTAAGCTCTCCCATTGTCTGCCTATGTTACTATATTTTGTGTTTGACTAGTGGGAAGCTTCTGCCATGCGTACTCACACTGGTTAGTCCCTCCATGTTGCATCACCCAGCACCCAGCTGTTTCCAGTTCAAATGGTTTAGCCTGGAAGGGAGGCACAATCTTGTCAATCTGCAGTCTTCCACTTACTTTTAGAGAAGCCTGCAGATTGCAGACATGTTCCCCTTATCTTTGAGAATGTGGACTGAAACTACGAATAAAACATATCAGAACCATCATCCATTTTTGCTTTATGTTAAGCTGTATGTACTTAATAAATATGCAGGGTAAAAAGAGGAATGACAAGGGAATAAAGCACAACCTGGATTAGTGTGCTCACAGGAACTTCCACAGGGATTTTGGTTTGTTTGGGATTTGCTAATTTTTTTCAAACTGAAATCATGTTTCCTGTAAAGAATGCAGCTAATTCTGCAAGGTAAGCAACTGTGGAACATTACTATCCTAGAACAGCATACTGAGAGGCACTGAGGGTTACAAAGCCCAAGGTGAGACATTCTCTCTAACTAGCATAAAAATCTGGGGCAACACCGGATGTTTGTAACAGCAGACGTGCTCACATAACTCTGGTTTTGCTCTGCCGTGTGTTTTCCCAGAACCAGCGTTCATGGAAAGAAACCAGGCAGATTTGGACAGTCTGTGAGGAAAAAGCAGAAGCTGGGGGGCTATCAGGGCAAAGGATTCAAATGAAGAAGAAGGAATGTTATGTCAGACAGCATGCAGGATTTGCACAAACCTAACATCTGCTCGGATCACAGTGATATGATTATCTAACATCATTTTAGCAGCTCCTGTGCAGTTCTGGTTGCTAACTGCAGGTTGTAGGTGATGATCACAGAACTGTTTCCATATAGCTCAGAATTATATATTTACATTTACATAGGATGAAAACTGCTCCAAAAGTAATGCCTCCTATTGATTATGTTGGTCCATGACATCAAAGGCCAGTGTTGTTGGTATGGCAGTAGAGGTTGAAACTTCCTGCCAGTATCCCATTACATTTTGTTGCTGTGTGACAAATGGCAGTGGGGCCAAAATTATGAATCAGCTTCAATGAAATGATGGAGGCAATGTTGGAATACCACAAAGTTTACATCACGTATGTTCCACAAATGCTTATACAGGAACAGAAAGAACACCATATGCAAGTTTTCAGGACCTACTGAGCCAATACAAGACTGAAGGGGACAGTTTTCTGGACTACATCATTACTGATGATGAGATGTGATGTCACCACTATGAGCCAGAGTAACCACAGCAGCCCATGGACTGGTGACATGTGAATTCCGCATTGAAGAAAAAGTTTGAGAAGCAGTCCTCAGCAGATAAAGTGTCTTTTGGGATAGGAAAGGAGAGATCCTGCTGGATTTCCCAGAACCCAGACAAACCATCAGCTCTGACCATTACATCACAAAGCTGACTGAGCTGAAGGCTTGAACTTCCAGAATCAGGCCAGAGAAGAAGAAAACCTTTCTCTTGTAACACAATAATGCCATGCCCTATATCAGTCTGAAGGCCACATGTTGCCAGTCTAGGTTAGACTGTCCTACCATACCCACTGTATAGTCCAGATTTAGCACCTTCTAACTTTCTTTGTTCAGTCTGATGAAAGATGGACTGCTCGGGCACCATTTTCCTAGCAATGATGCCATCACAGCAGCTGTGAAACAGTGGGTCGCCTCTGCTGGTACAGATTTTTATAAGGGTGGCATGCAGTCTCTTGTTCATCACTAGCAAAAATGCACAGCTAATTGGTGGTGACCATGTTGAAAAATAGTGCTTTGTAGCTGAGAATTTGCTCTATCAAACAGTGTTGTTGTGCTCTTTGCATCTTTTGCAGTTTCCATGGAAATAAACAGGAGGTATTACCTTCAGAGTGACCTCTATACATATCTGTAGTTCAGGCTGCCATTCACTTTCCATTATAGAAATAATGTTGCCAATTACACCACTGCTAAGCTGTTACAGCTGTTACTTTCTGGGTCAAAAGAATCCATTTTGAGCACCAGAATCAGGGTGAATTGCTTAGGAAGACTTCAGTCAAAATATCCTAGTCATTTCCAAGAACAAAATCGGTTTAAACTGACTGGTTTTAAATAAATTCTTCCATCTGTTTTAAAAAGAACAAGCATTTTCAGATTTGGTGCAAAGGTATGATATTTATCTAGATGGTCTCTGTAGGGAAGAAGATATCCTCCTGAAAATGTGTCTTTTTGCCCTCTGAAAAATCTTATTTCACATACAATACTTAGCATAAGCACAGTGCTGAGTTCTGAAGTTTTAACTTCATGGTGGGAAGTACCTTTTGTGTGAGAGCTGAGAAACCTGAGTTGAGAGCTGAGGACTTGAGTACAAACCCTTCACCAATATGAAGAGATTTAGAAAAGGAAGTACCAGGCTACAAAATGGGGTTAGAAGAGACAAAATATTTCAATCTCTTCTGTCTCTGCTGTTGAAACCAGCTAACTGAAGCTGCTGAAAACAGATTGGACTCCCAAAGCAGGTTGTGTGCCTGTGGCCCTGAAAGACACATAAAAAGCATGAATTAATCTAACTTGCACACTGATGCTTTTAAGTGCCTAGTCCTTTAACATGCTTAAGAACATAATTATGCCTACAATGACAATTTCCTTACAGCTAGCATAGATTGTCCAAATGTGCAACTCCAGATGATTCTCTGGGGCTTAACAGCTTTAACACACATACCAGAGGAACTGAAAACACATTTTAAACTTCACTTCTCCTGCTGTAATTGCTGCTTGCATACCCTTTCTTACTGGTATGTATTACCCCATTAGTAGGAGCAAAGAATTTCACAGGTTCATTTGCCACCTGAAATACTCTTTGGTGTGGTGCAATAAGGTTATTTATGTTCCTCTAAATTGAAGAGAGATGGGTTTGAAGGGTGGACACTTCAGTGGATAAGGAATTGTTTGGAAGATCGCAGCCAGGGATTGTTTCAATAGCTCAGTGTCCAGGTGGAGGCTGGAACTGCGCCCCAGGGGTCAATCTTTGATATCTTTATCAGTGGTACTCTTTGATATCTTTATCAGTGATATAAATGATGGGATTGAGTGCATCAATACTGATGATACCAAGCTGAGTGGTGCAGCTGATAATGACAGAAGGAAGAGGTGCCATCCAGAGGGACCTAGACAGGCTTAAAAGTGGGTCCGTGTGAGACTGATGAGATTCAAGAAAGCAAGGTGCTGCACTTGGGTCAGGGAAATCCCAAATACATATACAGACTGGGAGAAGAACTTGAAAGTAGCCCTGCTGAGAAGGTCTTAGGGGTTTTGGTTGATGAAAAACTTAACATGAGCCAGCAGTGCACTTGCAGCCTGGAAGGCCAATGGTGTCCTGGGTTCCATTAGAAGAGGGGTGGCCAGCAGGGACAGGGAGGTGATTTTCCCCCCTCTACTCTGCTCTTGTGAGGCCCCATCTGGAGTACTGCGTCCAGATCTGGGGCTCATAAGGAAAAATGTGGAGCTTTTGGAGTGGGTCCAGAGGAGAGCCTTGATCAGAGGGCTGGAGCACCTCTCCTACGAAGAAAGGTTGAGAAGAAAAAAAAAAAAAAGAGCATCAGACCGTTGAAGTGAACACCACCACAGACAACAGCCTCACTCGCACGCCTCTGCCCGAGCCGTAATGGCGCCGGACCGGGCGGGGCTGCCCCGGGCTCTCACATAACGGCGGGCAGGGCTGGACCGGGCACCTTTACGTAAGGCAGAGGCGGGACCAAGGCCGTGGTGGTGGCGGTAACACCATGTCCTGGTACCGCAACGTCGTGTGGTTCGTGAAGGGGCTGCGGGAGTACACGAGGTACCGGGGCTGCCGCCCCCGAGAGCGGGCTGCGCCGCGGGGCGGGCGCGGCGCTGCGGCGGTGCTTGGGGGGGGGGGTGTATGTTTGTGGGTGTACACTAAAGGCTTTCCGCCTTTATTTTCGCTGTTAATTGAAGTCTGCCCTCCAAAGCGGGCGAATTTCAGCCCCTTACATATCTTTTGACAGCCACTCTTGCCCTGAGCTCAGTGCAGGAAGATCACAGCTGAGCCCGAGCTGAGCAGTCGGAGCCCCTTAGCTCCCTCACAGAATGTTTTGAGTTATTGCTGCAGAACTTGCTCCACACTGGCACTGTGTCCAGACAGCTCTGTGAGAGAGGAGCGTTGAGCGTGTGCCAGAAAAATGCACAGTGAGCTGTAGAGGGAAAACCCTTTTCAACCCTCCCTCTGTTTTTTGTTTTTGTTTTGGAATTGCTGTCTTCTGGCTTCCTCACAGGTGTCTCTGATTTATCTAGGAGTGGTTACGAGTCTGCCTCCAAGCACTTCGATCCGGCAGATCTGGAGGTGGATGTGGCTGGTAGATCCTTTCTGATCACTGGGTCCAACAGCGGCATTGGCAAGGCTGCAGCCAAGGAGATAGCACGGAGAGGTGAGCCGGGGCACCGCCCCAGCCTGCAGGAGAGACGAGTGGAGGCAAATTTGGCTTCCAGCACGAATAAGGAGCATGCAGCTCTCCGGAGTGAGGGGACAGAGCTCTTAGTTTGGGTTAAAGGATTAAACGTGGTCAGCAGTGTGAAAACTGAAATAGTGAAACAAAAATGTAAATAGAGAAAACGTCCGATGTTTCTCACGTGTATGTTTACCAGTATTATCCACCATTTAAAGATGTTACTGATGGAGTAAGGTCTACATAAGGCTGGTTCAGTACAAGTATCAGATTGGTGGAATGTGAACAGGGTGAGGGACTTAAACATATACCATGTGATGGAAGAAAACAGATGGCTTTGCAAAGCTAGAGATGGGAGAGTACAAAAGAGCCAAAGTGTTGTACTTGATCATGACAATAAGCCTAGAATTGGCACCCTTTAGCCAACTTTTTTTTTTTTTTTTTTTTTTTTTTTACATCACTCTGGGTAAGCAAGGAGATGAACTGGAGTAGCTACTCTTTAAGGATAAAACTAATCCTGTTTAGGGCTGATAAAATAACTCCCCTTGTGCAAGACTTCCAGGCACTTTGGCATGTAGAATAAAAAAGAAGAGTTTGTGGTTCTCTTTGCCTGCTTAGGCTCTAGCAACTATCTTATGAAGGAGAGTGGAGATTTGGTTAAATTAAACTAATTCAAAATTATTAGCATTGAAGAGCCTTTGACTTAAAGATCCCCCTCAATACCAGTGTATGATTGATCTCAGGTTCCCTCCACAGTCATTATGCATAATAACTTTATTGCTTTGCCTGGTGATTGTTCTGCTTGCAAATGGAGCTGCCCACCAGATGTTGCATAGTCATTCAGGTTGAAAAAGATGACTAAAATGATCAAGTCCACCTGTCGACCCATCACCATCATACCCACTAAACCATGTCCCTCAGTGCTTCATCTACACTTTTCTCAAACGACTCCAGGTATGGGCAGCTTGTTCCAGTACATGATTACTCTTTTTTTCCTAATATCCAACTGGAATCCCTCCTAATGCAACTTAAAGCTATTAAGTCCAGTCTTGTCACTAGTTACCTGGGAGAAGAGGCTGACCCCTGCTTTGGTACCACCTCCCTTCAGGTAGTTGTAGAGAGTGATAAGGTCTCCCCCGAACCACCTCTTGTCCAATCTAAGCAATCCCAGTTCCCTCAGCCATTCCCCATAAGATTTGTGCTCCAGACCCTTCTCAGCTTTGTTACTCTTCTTTGGGACACACTGCAGAGCCTCACTGTCTTTCTTGTAATGAGGGGCCACAAACTGAACACAGTATTTGAAGCATGGCCTCACCAGTGCAGAGTAGAGGGACAATTACCTTTCCAGTCCTGCGTGTCAGACTGAACTAGTACACAGGATTTGGTCATTACATCTAAATTTGTGGCCAAAGAATAACCTTGGACTCAGACTTCTTGCCTGATACTTTTCTAGGGCATGGTTGTGCATATAAAGTTAAAATGACTTAATCATTTAAGTCAGGAAGAAATTCCTGATCCCATTCTTGCATGTGTTGCTCTGAAACTCCATGTCAGCTACTGGGACTCGCTTCTGGTTGAACCTCTTGAAGTGCATTACAACAAGAAAGCAAGGAATTAACACTCAGCAAACAAATAACCAGCCTACATTGGCTTCATCTGCATGCACATCATATTCTTGTAAGTTACGGCAGTCTTGATTACATCTTCTGTAGCCTAAGTTCAGCTCTTTTCTGAATCAGTGTCATGTTGGTGTAGTGGGCTAACCTTGGCAAGCAGCGAAGTGCCACACAGTTGTTTGCACACTTCCCTGTTCCACCAGCAGTAAGGTGAGGGAAGGGGAAAAGAAGAATAAAAGTCCAGATACAATAAAAAAAAGTTTAGTGCATGATGGAGAAGTTAAATAAGAGACAAAGAAAATGAAACAAGTGATGCAAAAGCAATCACTCACCAACTCCCGTGAGCAGACTGATGCCCAGCCAGATCATGAGCAAGAGATGGCTAACTCCTAAAACCCTCTCTCTTCCTCTTTATTACTGAGCATGATGATATGTGGCATGGAATATCTCTTTGTTCAGCTAAGATCAGCTGTCCCAGCTGTGTCCCCACCCAACCTCTCACACACCCTCTGATCTATTCACTGAAAGGCCAAAGTGAGAGACAAGGCCTTGGCACTGTGCAAGTGCTGATCAGCAAAGGATAAAAAATAGTGTGTTACTAGCATTGTTTCACTCACAAATCTAAAGCACGGCATCATATGAGCCACTATGAAAAAAATTAATAGCATCCCAGCCACACCCAGTACTATGCATACTGCAGATGTGGGCTTTCCTATGTATCTTGTGAACTGCAGTTCAGGTTTGATGCAGGTTTTTCCCAGTCCCTTGTGTTGTTTAAATTCAGATAATTCTAGGTCTTTACCATGAAAAACATATTTAAATGCTTTTCCTAACCCATGGTTTGCACTAAAACATCTCTCTCTTCTTGACAGCAAGAAAACATTCATATTCAGAGCCCTTCAAACTCACCTTGGGACCATACCATGATCCCAATCAGCTGAAAGGCCAGCTACCTCCTCTGTATTTTATTCATACAAGTACAGTGCTTGTGCAGTCCCTTGTGCTCTTTAAACATCTGCACATCCTCATCTGCCTTAAGATCTCTCATTAAAGCCCTTCTTTGTGCAGCGAAGCCTACAGTCACTGAGAGAATGGCTTGACAGATGAGCATTGGAAACTGCCTGTTCTGATGCTTGTCTGTTCTCTCACTCATGAAATCTAGTCTCACTGAGGCAAAAATTGTCTTTCATTCTGATCTGTATATGCTTAGTGCCTGATTATGCAGGGTCCCTCCCATGCACAGTGCATGTGTAGCACAAACAACCTCAAGGCTCATTGCCTGCTTCAGCTGCATGCCCAGTATGCTTGCTCTAATTGTAGTCAGTGGAAAAACTCTCAGAGACAATTGCACATTCAGAGCCCAGAGTAGGCTGTGCAGCACATGGGTATGTGACTACTCCATCCCTGCAATAGTTCTGATGTCTTGCATTTGGGTTCTAATTGCTTTCATCAGAACTCCTTTGGGATTACATTTCTTAAGCCTTCTAACGTTGGACTGCTAGGAACTCCTAAAACATGTTTAACAGTAAACTGAACTAAGGAGTACATATGTTCTTGTAACTGAGATTAACAAATTTCTTGTAATGATTAAGGAATGTAAACCATAAGAATAAGAGTGATGTCTGCTTATATTTCAGTGCTGTTTTTGAAGGTTCTCTTTAATGTCGCTATGCTATTAGGGCATGATACATATCCAGTCCTTGGAGAAGACCCTTGTCCTGAGTATTTGTTCTGTAGAAAAAGTGGTTGGAAAGTACCTAAAGATCATCTTGTCCAGCATCCCATTTGAAGCAAGACTTCTGCCATCACTAGATCAATTTGGCCACTGCTTTCCCTAGCTTGATCTTGAAAGCCCCTAATTTCCATTCTATTGAAATTCTACCACCTCTCAGGGCAGCCTGATCTATCTCCTTATGAAAACGTTTTTCTTAATGTCTGTCCTGATCCTTCCGGGCTGCAGTTTGTGCCCGTGGTCCTTGTCACATAATCTGCCTCTGCTGAGAAATATTCTGATACCTATCATCTTTTATTCTGTTTTCACAGAACAATTCAAGTCACTTGTGTTGTTTCTTTCTAAGACGTGCCAAAACAAACATTCATGAGATTGATGTCTTAGCTTTATTTTCTAGCACAGCCCTGGTGTCTTATTTACACTAAGCATGCCTTGTAAACTTGATAGAAAATAATGAGTTAATAGTTGAGAAAATAGTTGAGTGCTTGAACTGCAGAGGCCTCCTCCATTCACACAGCCTTGCCTGGGAACCTTAGTATGTTTTGCTGTACATCTGCTTATTGTGTCCTGAGCTTTCTGTTGAAAAATTTTTAGTAGACTGTTGTCCTTTCATAGACCATGCCTGAATTCTTAGGTCTGGTTTACTAGGTAACACTGCTGAGTTTGGGTCTTCTGGGAGCATTGGTCCCTAGGAGTGGACTAAAGCTGGTGAACGTGAGACTGTGAAGTGCTGTAGCTTTGACTTGCACCCTTTTCCCAAGCACTTCATCAAGTGTTGTGGGAGCCTTGGGTCCTCCACAGACCACAGCTATGGCAGCGCTGATGAAAAGCCACTGCTCAGGTCTTGAGAGCAGAGCAATGGGACTGTGGGCTGTACACAGCCCAGGAGTGCTCTGACTGCTGGGAAATCCCCGCAGTGTTCCAGGGTGGCCACTGCTACTGGCAGGCTACAGATTTCTACAGGTGGGAAGCAGTCACAGAAGGTTTCTCATTCCTTCTGATTTGTATCAAAAACTAACCCCAAAGAAGAACTGCAAATTGAAAGCTACCTTCTGGCACCTTCTCTTTGCTGATGCCCCCCTGACATATTTAGTAATTAATTGTCAAATGTGTTTCTTGTTAAAATCCACGAGGTGGCACGGTTCACCTGGTTTGCCGCAATAAGGAACGAGCTGAGGATGCCAAAGGAGAAATAGTGACAGAAACTGGCAATCAGGTAAGTTTGTTGTTATGTTTTGTGATGTCCTACCTACTTTTCCTTACTACGTTGCTGAGGATTTTAAAAGTTAATTCACTGCAACGCTCTTGCGACAACATTTATGGAGTTGGAGGTTTTCTGAATCTGAATAACATGCTCTTGATTTGCTAAGGATGCCTTTCCTGCTTCACGTATGTGGTCCTAATTTTATGCTTATAGACTTTTCTATCTCTTTTTCTTACAGCATCTTTTCCTTATCTCCTGCTTTCTGTTAAAGATTCTTTTTGCTGCTGCATATATCAATCTACAGTACACCTCCGTAGCTGTCAGTGTTGCTTTGGTGATTATTCTAGAGGGTGTGCTTGTGGAGAAGTGGAGCCAGTGTCTTTGTACATTGGATGAAGATCTGTCTTCATTTTAAGCGGGGCCTTGGCTCTTAAACACAGTATTTTGATTCCAGTAGTAGAGTTTAAGGGGTGTCAAACATTGTGAAGACTTCTTATGGTTAGAGATACCTTACTGAATAATTTGTGCTCTTTAGTTTCAGCTCCCAAGTCTGACATTGAAGCTCTTTAATGGAGGTGAATTAGATCAGTCCTTGTGTAGAAGTACTCTCCAGCTGTCTAGAAAAGCATGATCCCCTGACTATAGTAAGATAAAGTTATGAAAGGACTGGTGACTATAAGTGTTACTTTCTTTTCTAGCTGCAGTCAGACAGCCTGGGCAGAGGGGTGAGTTTCATGACCTCTGAGGGTTCCTTCATGTTCTGTGTTCTATCATTTGTTGAAACAGAACTCAAGGCAAATAGTATTCTTTCACTAAATGCAGCACATCTACTGCATACTGAGTTTTGGTAGTCTACAAACCTGTAGTTTCCCTAGTCATAAAAGAACATGAGCGCACATTAGAACTTGTGTGTGACCAGGGGTCCTGGGCACTTGTATGGAAAGGAGCATTTGTTAAAGTGTCAGATGAGCTCTACAAGTGGCCCTGCACTGGAAAGAGTCATTTTTATAAGGATTCCACAAGAACATCCTTCTTTCTAAGTAGCCATCCAGAAGCAATCCAGAGAGATAATAAAATACTTTATCTGCAACTTGACAAGTTACAAGCAGACCTAACTTGCTCTTCCTGGTTATCTGGACAGAGATCCTGTTGTAGTATGTGCCAGAGATTTGTTTCCAGTTTCCACAGCAAAACATGCTGGGGTTCAACGCTGAGATGAGTTATTATTTGGCAGGCACTTGCACCTTAACCTGGGAACTAGGAAGGTCTCCTGATTTTCTAAATAGATCTACTCATGGTGATTAGATCTCACCTTGAGAATGACTTTGCTACCATGAAGGACTTTTATAGGGAACAGATCTTTGAGTTCCTTTTCTGAGCCATGTGACAGTCTTCAACAGATAAGTGTTGATTCAGGTCTTTTTCAGTCTCTAAAATCACTTGTAATACTGAACATCTGCCCCCAAATCTACTCTTCTGTTGCAGTAGTTAGTTGCAGTAGCTCTAAAAGTAAAAGGCTCTTAGAGAGGTATCTGGTTAGAACCTACAGAAGTGTCAAGTTTTTTGTTTAGAAATGAGCATTATGATGAGAAAATTCTGAGCTATTTCAAATGAGGAGCTGAAATCCAATGGCTAAAGAGAAGACAAGTGTTTTTATCTTCAAGGAAGCAGAATTATAGATTGGGAATGATGCCTTATAATTTTCCCAGCTTCTTCGCTTATCTCTTTTGCTTGTGTAGTGAGTATTTAAAGGAACATTTGAAAAAAGAGGAGGTCTTTTAATGATTATTTGTTTCTTTGCATGGGAACACATCCTCTGCATAATTATCTTAGAAGTACCTTTCCTGGTGTGTGTCATAGGACTGTCTGTAATATGTCTTCAAGACTAAGCACTGTGCACGAGAAGAATAGGATTTGCAGTGCCTTCTGTATGCTGATAAATGCTGCTCTGCTTATACTGGGTAGAGCAGACATTTACAAAAGCAGAGAATTGCCTTTAACAAGGACTAAAAGGTTTTAGATGTTTTGGAGAGAGGAAATATTTTAGATTTAGTGGGTTGGAAGATTATAACTTTGCTTTCATGTCAAGCTTTTCCTCTTTTATTTTACTGCATTCACATCCATGCCCATAGCATTTCAAAACAAGGGTCGACTGAAAGGGACATGGCAATTCATGCAGCACTTAGTGTGGAAAGGGGTTGCAGAAAGCACTCAACACTCTGCTTAAAAATAGTGGCGTGGAAACGGCAATGTACCTGAAGGTGTGCTCTTCTGCCCTGCTCCAGAGGAATGGTATGTGGGTGCTGTGCTGCAGGGAGTGACTGGCACTTCTCCCTGAGCCTGGGGCAGAGCACAATGGGGTCCTCATCAGTTGGGCTCTGCTGTGGCCAAGGTGCTGGGCCGCCAGATGAAGCATCTGCTGGACATGGAGCAAGCTGCATAGCCTTAGGGGGAGGAAACCGGAGGTGGACATGGTCTTTGCAAAGAGCAGAAGAGTGCAAACTCCACTTATCTGGGAGGATGGAAAGCTAGGGTCTATCCTCAAGTAAATGGATGGAGACTCCTAAGATGGGGAAGACTGGGCATTTGTGAACGCTAGCAGTAGAAGGCAGGATTGTTCTCAGCCTGCAGATGTTCATTTACAGGATAGGTACAGTGCCATGGTAACAGATGGGGAAGAACAAACTCTGTCAGGGGAGGATTTGAAGCCAGCTGAGCCTGAACTGTTGTTGGCACCAGGAGGAAGAGTGGGTGAAAATGGCTGGAGGCTCCCTCTGTCAGGGATGGAGGCATCTGCTTGCTGTCTGTACTTGATGTCTTGAGAGATTTGTCACTTGCTAATGTGGTTTGATCCAGTGAACAGTAAGACAGGTAGAAGACTGCTTGGGCCATTGGGCTCAGAAAGTAGCAGTCAACAATACAGAGCTGATCTAATGAGCAGTTATTAGTGGCATCCCTCATAGGTCAATACTGGGGCAAGAGTTTAATGTCTCTATTGACAGTCTGGACAAATAGATCAAGTATAATCTCTGTCAGATTGCAGATAGCCTCAATTACTGGAGAGTAAAGGTGCTATTCAAGAAGCTTAACAGGTGGGAAAATAGACAGACATGAGCCTTGTCAAGTTCACCAAGAGCAGTCCTGCCCAGGAGTGCAGTAATCCCACGGAGTAGTATGGCCTGGGACTGACTGAAAACAGCTGTGCAGAAAAGGGCTTGGGGTTGATTCCATGACCCTGAGCAAGCAGTGTGCCCTGAGGCAAGGAAGGCCAAATGCACCCTGGGCTGAATGACCAAGTGTAGCCAGAAGATTGAGAGAAGTGCTGAGTCCTTGTGAGACCACAGCAGGACACTTATGTCCAGTTTGGGCCTCCTGGAACAGGGAAGTCTTTGATGTCCTAGAGCAAGGCCAGACTGTCAAAGTTACAAAGGAACTAAGATGTGTGTGGGGAAGAGGTTGAAAGGGTTGGTTTCACTCAGTGTTAAGAAGAGAAGGCTGAGGTCTACAGCCTTATTACTGTGGCACACAGCTTGCAAACCTGACTGTTGATGGGGTTTTACTTTGCAGTGCATGAAACAGATAGACTTTCTGAAGCAGTACATAAAACAGATAGACTTTCTGTGCCAGACTGCCTGACAGAGATGAAAGCTGGGGTCCCTTCAACCATGCATTAAGCATTAGAAGGTCATGGCTCAGGAGCAGGTGAATCAAATGACAAGAGATGTTTCTAGGAAAATATTTTAATTTCCCAATTTTGCTTCTTAGCCACAAGTGTTTCAGATATATTCTGGAGATAATACTTTTTCATTCAACTAGAATAGCTTTTCAACAAAACGGGCCTTAACAGTGAGCAGGACCTATTCACTATACATGTTGATTGTAACTTTTCTTCTTTTAGAATATCTTCTTGCATATTGTGGATATTTCTAACCCCAAAGAAATCTGGAAGTTTGCTGAAAAGTTCAAAACTGAACATAAATTGAATGTGTTGGTAAGTTTGCATACTTAAATCATGTGTCTATCTTTGGAGTGCCCGTCCTCTGAACTTAGCCAACAGACAGTCCAGATTTTGCAGTTCTCTGCTTAATGTTCTCTAAGTACTGCTATAGTCCATTTGCTTTTGTCCATTCTCAGTTCACATACACAGATATGATACAAAAAAGCAAGAAGTGCAGTAATTTTTTAGTTGCATCTTTTGAAGTTCTCACTGCAGATTTTCTATCTGACTTTTATTACTGATAACTTTGTGGCCTTCAGGTTGCATATTCAGGCTATGCATATTTCTCTAAACAAAAATATGGCAGAAAGTGATGTTTCCCCCATGTAGTCCAACACACCCTGCCGTTGGCAGGACACCTTCCTTCCACGAGATGAGGCTGCCCAGGGCTCCATCCAGCCTGGCCTACCTCCATGGAAGGGGCATCCACAGCTTCTTTGGGCCGCCTGTTTCAGTTCCTTACCACCCTCACAGTGAAGACTTTCTTCCTAATAGCTAACCTAAATTTCCCCTCTTTTAGTTTAAAGCCATTATTTCTTATACTCCTTGAAGCCTTCTCGTCTCGAGGCTGAAAAGCCCCAAATCTCTCAGCCTGGCTCCACAGGAGAGGTGTTACATAAAATGAATTTTCCCTAGTAGAGAAATGTCTGATGGGGAGTACATCACCACGTAGCACCTATGGAATCTCTCAGATGAGATTAACATACGACACTGCTTATTTGTCCTAATATCTGTGCTCTGCAACTGGCATATTACTTCTGTGAGAAGAGATTTTAAAACATGGAGTAAGGCACTAAGATGGTTGGCTTTTAGTACCAATCCATTTCTCTGAAGATCCTTTCTTCTGTGAAAAATGTAACAGTAAATTGACTTGCAATAGTGTGATTTATAGAAACAGTTTTTAGCATTGTGCTGTTGTGCCCAAAAAAATCAAACTATCATGATTTGCCTATATGTTTGGTCTTGTTTGTAGACATTTGTCTAGATTGTTTTTGTTTTACAGATTAACAATGCAGGGTGTATGGTAAACAACAGAGAGGTAACTGAAAATGGACTTGAAAAAAACTTTGCAACAAACACATTGGGTGAGTACTGGGGGCCTAATTCTGAACAATGATACTTATGCTTGAAGTGTGTATTTACAGCTGGGCTCTTTCTGCTCAAAGAGAGATCGTATTATTGCTATGTCAGGGAAGAAGTATGAAAGTAAAAGAAGAAATATTGCAGCTTGTGTGGAATGTCCTATTTGAATTTCTCAATTTTTCAGCTTTTGTCATATCAGTACCTTTATTTATTGTAGCAGCAGTGAACAAATGCAGATAGGATTTAATTAAATTGCTTCTGAAATAGGAAACTGTTCCAAGCAGTGCTGCTCATGATAGTCTGTGTAATCAGTGTGCTCCTGTGGCTTGTTTAGAGCTCTGAGCACACTCGTATGTTTCACTAGGCCTGAGCAGTCCTACTGCACATGGTGGAGGCACATTATATAGGAAGGCTGTATCTTCTATAGTGCCCTGGATATTCTCAAACATAAACAACTCCTATTCAAGTGATTGAGCAGTTGTGGGTAGTCTTCACACCCCAGATATAAGGTGCATATCTGATGAATGGTGGGGGTACAAGAGGGTTAAATTAAGGGAAACAAGGAAGAAAGAGGTGAGGACAAGCAGAGAAGATGGTAAGCAAAGTGAAAGGTTCCCCCATAAGAGCCATGGAAAAGATGTGAACACACAGGAAGCCAGCAGTGAGAAGAGCTGTGTGCTGCCACTGATGTAGAAGGGTTGAAAGCTACACCTCTTGCAAGGAGAGGTGTGTTGCATGCTGCTCTCTTGTTGCTCTCTTTTCCCTTCACACAAGTACGTGGCTATACAAAGGGACAGTTTTTAACACACTCAAAAGTGGCACATTAAAAAGGAGCTGTGGTGCTTTGTTTCTCTGTTTTCCTCCTGCTTATCAATATTTGGGATGAGGAGGAGGGGAACCTTAGGCTGTAAAGATGGGGCATCTACAGAACTAAGCATTCAGAGCCTGGGAACCCTTGTTTGGTTTTATTCTTAGCTTTTTTTTTTGCATAGGTTCCTTAACTCCTATTTACTTCTGAAAATTAACATTTTGGTGTAGAAGTATCTTGTGCTTAGCTGATATTGCACACACACATTGTTTTTCTGCAAGTCTGACTGCATTAAAGTGACAATTAAAAATTCAAGTATAAAAGCACAGTTTCTGTTTCTTCAATCTTTTAGTAGCATTCTTCTGTTTCTTGTGGCCAGAATTCAAAATGAGTTTTACTTTGCCATCAAATTTCCCCTGGCTGTAGAAGTAGAACTTTGACATGAGAAATGTATCCCACTTGTTGTCTTTCAGACAAAAATTCAGCAATGTGCAAAGATGCAGTTCATCTGGAGAGAAGCAGGGTGAAGCAAATACAACAGTTTGAACATGAAAGCATGTATTTGTGTAGTTTTAAGCACCGGGGAAATGAATTACTGGGGAGCTGTGTGAGTACATCACTTGAATCAGATTTTATCACACAAGTAGAAGCAGCAAGTTCTGCCTTCCCAGCTGTAAATCAGCCTCACTAGAAATCTACAGCAGGATAAAGCTGCATGAATATGGTAGAGGAAGCTGAATTATGATTGTGCTGAACTAAGAAAGTGCCTGTATTATCTTCTGTCAACGTTATGTATAGATCTTCTTTAGTCATTTATGTGTCACTTGCTGCTTGAGTGTGTAAGAAGGTCAGGAAGGTGGTTGCACATTTGAGCAGATGAGGTAAGGCAGGTAAGTCATCTTCTGCTGTCCAATTTCTGCAGAGTTCAGAGAAGGAGTGGGTTGTCTGCCTAGGCTGGTTCTCTTCGCAACAGTAAAGATTGTCTTTTGAAGCTTTAGAATAGAGTGGGATTTGGCTGATGTAGAAGGAGCTGTTTGTGTAAGGGAACACTTCTGTGCTTGCACATCAGGCATGCATGGGGGACCAATGCTATCAACAGTGCAGGTGTTTTGCTTCAAAGTCAGAGATGAGATAATAAATCATTCCTGTCAGAGTAGAAGAAAGTAGTATGGAAAAATGCATGTCAGAGCAGATGCTATGTTAAGCCATTTCCCTGAGTACTGTGTACCTTTGGGTACGCTTTACTTTGGAGAAGTTATTTCTCAGTAACTAAAAGCATGCCCCAAGTTACTTCTCAGTAACTTCTCAGTAACTGTCTGTTACAGGTTCCCAGAGAAAACCTTGGCTACGTTAGACTTGGCAGGTATATAGGTTGGCCATAAACCAGGATGTAATCAGAGAGGACAAACTGAATTCCCCTCCCTGCTTTTATCCTCAGAAAAACTGAAGCCTGGCCTGTTTTGAACATCTGCAGTTGTCCCTCTCTTGTTAGCAGCATAGAAGCAATAATTTGTGATTGCCTGATTTCTGTAGAATAAGAACTTTTTTTTTTTTTTTTCCCCAGAACTTCACATGCAGAGTGTTCCTTTCATTTTTCTTTGACTATTTGTTTCTACCCTGGATCTTAGCTCGGGTCTAATAAAGGAATGTGTAGGTTGCAGCTACCTAAGAATGCAAGAATTAGCTATAAAATGCTTTAAATACAGAGCATAGTCTGTTAGTTCTGTGTCTGATATCTGATTAACGTTTACATAAGCTCTAGGATTGCTCATTTTGGTGTCTAAAATGCTGTGAAGCTTTTAAATCCAGGCTGTGGGTATTTTCCTCTTGACTGACTTGTTAGTGTGTTTTCTGATATTTCGCATAATGGGTGTTAGAGTTCAGTTCTAATTGATCATCCTTTCTTGGAGAGAGTGGGCAAAAATGAATGCATAAGCCCTCTGATAGCTAAGGTGAATATGTAAAAAATAATAATAATAATAATAGTACTGGTTAAAATAAAGAATAAACCTCCCTTAACACAAAACACCACTGACTGGCTAATTGAGGACAGTTCACTGCATTAGGAGGTACAAAGACCTCTCTGGTGTTTCAGCCCTGTGGAAAAGGACTTGGGGGTCCTGAAGGACCAAAAGCAAGACAGGAGCCAGTACACTTAGAGCCCAGAAGGCCAACTGTGTCATCGGCTGCATCAACAGAAGGGTGGCAGCAGGGTGAGGGAGGGATTTGTCCTCTACTCTGACCTCATGAGGCCCCATCTGCAGTAATGCTTTCAGGCCTCCAACACAGAAGGGATGTGAAGCTGTTGGAGCGGGTCAATGGGAGGGCCATGAAGATGATCAGAGGGCTGGAGCACCTCTTCTATGAAGAAAGGTTGAGGGAGTTGGGCTTGTTCAGCCTGGAGAAGAGAAGGCTGTGGGGAAACCACATTGTGACCTTCCAGTACTTAAAGGGAGCTTCCAAGCAGGAGAGGGAATGACTTTTTACATGGTCTGATAGTTATAGGACAAAGGGCAATGGCTTTAAATTAAAAGAGGGGAGATTTTCTTCACTATGAGGGTGGTGAGGCCCTGGCACAGCTGCCCAGAGAAGCTGTAGGTGCCCCATCCCTGGAGGCAATCAGTGTGCACTTAGAGCCTGGGAGGCCAACCGTACCAGGTTAGATGGGGCCGTGCGCAGCCTGAGCTGCTGCGTGGCACTGCCCGTGTTGGGTTGGAAATGATTGGCTTTAAGGTCCCTTCCAACATAAACCATTCTATGATTCTGTGATTCTACAATTAGACAGGTGGAAGAAGTGTATGAAAATGCCAACTGCGGGCTGAGTGGGGTTGAGTGTTCCAGCTTGTAAGTTCTCCCATCCCAAACAAAGACCATTCAAACCAACAGTCATTTTGGGGTAGAAATATCTTGGGCTTAGCTGATATTGCACACACACGTTGTTTTTCTGCAAGTCTGACTGCATTAAAGTGACAATTAACAATTCAAATATAAAGGCACAGTTTCTGTTTCTTCAGTCTTGTAGTAACATTCTTCTGTTTCTTGTGGCCAGAATTCAAAATGAGTTTTACTTTGCCATCAAATTTCCCCAACAACTATCAGTGCTGGTAGGCAAGTGGAAGCAACAGAAATCTGTGCCTGTTGAAGCACTAGAAATTCAGCTGAAACTGTCCCTGTTTTCTCTGTTTCATTGTCCTCCTCACTTTACTTTTACTCAACACATCTTCTTGCTTGACATGGAAAAGTAGCATATACATTACATTTTATTGCTACTTAACAGCCAAGGGGATGCTAAAACACACTCAGAGGTAAATAAGTGGTGCTCCCACTGAGTGTGACTTTCTCAGTCTAATGAAACCTCCTGTGCTCTCTCGTTGCAATAATAAAGCTGTATACAGTTACTCTGTGTGCAAGAAGGGATAGAGCCAGGGGAAATAAGATGTTAGGGCCATAAGAAATAAGATGCGCATCTATGACAAGCTGCCTAACCTGACTGAATATTTTTCAGTCTCTTCCCTCCACATAAACCATACCTAACTGGGTCTCATATGAGCCAGCATTGCCTGTCAGACTGTGTCTGAACTACTTGGAGGTCAGACAGCTTGTATGGCAGCTGCTGCTCTGCCATGAGGTCAGTCTTGATCTTTGCAGACAGCCTTACTTATGTGAAGGAGCCTGTGATACCAATTTACTTTTACTGAGTTTTGAGACAGAGAGATGAGAGGTGCTATAAAAAAAAGGTAAAGTTAGATGTAGTTGTAAATCTACTAGCTGTACTGAATTCTAGGTTCCCAGGACACAGAGGAACCCTTATTGAGCTGAGCTTTGTAATTCAAGGGAAATGTGGACCTTTGTTTTGTCTTTCATGTTCATTAGCTCTTCCCATGCACTCTCAGTTATTGCCTAGTGTGGTGAAATTGCCCCTCAGAGACAGCACACTAAAATCCTCATTCCTGATCTGATACTCAGGAAACAGGCTCAGGGATGTTTCTCACTTGAAATTGTATAAATTGAAGACTTGAAAAGATAACCAGGTCAAGAAATAATGTCAGCTTGTGCTTTTTTTTTCTCCTTTCTTTTAAGCTTCGGACATAGGAAAAGCAAGCCAATTTATTTAACTCATTTTTACCAGATGAGCGAGCCATTGAAATCTGCATTATAAAACTTTGTTCCCATTTTTTTTCACAGTTGAAATAG